TTGAGTTTTAGAGCGAGAGTGGAAGAGAGAGAGAGAGACAGAGAGAAATATCGATGTGTTTCACACATCGATTGGTTTCCTCCTGCATGCACCCTGAGCAGTGCCCAGGCCAGGGAGAGCTTACAACCAAGGTATGTGCCCTTGACTAGAATAGAACCTGGTACCCTTTGGTCCACAGGCCGACGTTCTATCCACTGAGTCAAACCACCTAGGGCTAATTTTTTATTCTTTTTCTTACAATGTCTTACATGATCTGTAAGGTTTTTCACTTCTTGAATATATTATGGTCATGTATATCTTTCTAGAAAAGTGGTACAATCATCCATCTTCTTTGTATTAGCGAAGATTTTTACAAAATATCTCCAATGGAATAGTACTCAGCCATAAGAAAGATTAAATGCTTCTTTTTGAGATAACATGAATGGATCTTGAGAATATCATGCAAAGGGAAATAAGTCAGACAGAGAAAGTCAAGAACCATATGATTTCACTCACATGTGGGATGTAAAACTGAAAGCAACAAATGAACACAAGATAAACCTCTCTTCGATGTTTCTAGCTCTCTATCTCTCTCCCTTCCTCTCTGTAAAAAATCAATAAAAAAAAAAAACATACTTAACATACTCATAGAAACAGGCAACAGTATGGTGATGCCCAGAGGCAAATAGGGGTAGAGGAGTAGTAAAGGGTAAAGTCAGTCAAATATATGGTGACAGAAAGAGATTTATGTGACTTTGGGTGGTAAACACACAATGCAATGTATACAATTGTATAGTTGAGACCTATATAATTTTATTAACCAATGCCACCCCAATAAATTTAATTTTTAAAAATTCCTTTATTCTGTTATTAAATCTACTCATGCAATCCCAGTTTTTTAAATATATTTTTTATTGATTTCAGAGAGGAAGAAAGAGGGAGAGAGAGATAGAAACATCAATGATGAGAGAGAATCATTGATTGGCTGTCTCCTGCACGACCCCCACTGGGGATGGATCCTGCAACCCGGGCATGTGCCCTTGACCGGAATTGAACCTGGGACCCTTCAGTCCACAGGGCGATGCTCTATCCACCGAGTCAAACTGGGTAGGGCAAAATCCCAGTTTTTATGTATTCATCTTGTTGCTCTTTTTTTGTTGCTCTTTTCTTAAATTTTAAGATAAAGATTAAGCTAATTGATGTGCTTCTCACTTACAAAAGCATGTTCATTCAACCACTGAAATGTTAATTTTACTTAGTTGTAATTTAATACAGTAAAATGGATATATTTTGGAATAAAGTGTAAAATATCACATCATTGATAAAATTAAGGATAAAAACTCAAGGAAATTTGCTTTTGGTGGCACTCAGAAACAGAGATTGTCATGGTGGTTTCCAGGGGCTGGGTGGTGATGGGAAAGAAGGAGATGTTGGTCAAAGGGTACAACCTTCCAGTTACAAGATGAATAAGTTCCGGGAATCTAACATACAACATGGTGATTATAGGTAACTAGAGGCCTGATGCATGAAATTCGTGCACGGATAGGGTCCCTAGGCCTGGCTGGTGATCAGGGCCAACCTGTGAGGCGACCGGCGGGGCGATCAAAAGGCCCCCACTGGCACCTGCATTGGCTGGCCTCACGCCACCCACTCGCCGACCTCCCCACCCCCACCAGTCGCCTCCCTCTGCAGGCTGGGGGCAGCTCCTGCATTGAGCATCTGTCCCATGTGGTCAGTGTCCATCATAGTGACTGGTCGTTCCTCTGGTGGTTCTGCTGTTTGGTCGATTTGCATATTAGGCTTTTATTATATAGGATAATATTGTACTATATACTTGAAAGTTGCTGAGAAAGTATATTGCAATGTTCTCACCACAAAAAAAAAAAAATGGTCATTATGTGATGTGATAGAGGTGTGAGCTAACACACTATTGGTGGCAACCATTTTTCTTTTTTAAAAATATTTTTTTATAGATTTCAGAGAGGAAGGGAGAGGGAGAGAGAGATAGAAACATCAATAATGAGAGAGAACCATTGATCGGCTGCTTCCTGCACACCCCCTACTGGTGATTGGGGCTGCAACCTGGGCATGTGCCCTTGACCAGAATCAAACCCAGGACCCTTCAGTCCACAGACCAACGCTCCATCCACTGAGCCAAACCAGCTAGGGCGGTGGTAATCATTTTCCAATATATAAGTATATCAAATCAATGAGTAGTACACCTTAAACTTATACAATGTTATATATGGCGATTATCTCAATAAATCTTGGGGGAGGAAAACAACGAAGGCCAAATTACGCTAACTCTCTAACATTGCTTATTGAACACAAACTGGGGCCCCTCGTGAGGAGATGCTCTTTGTCAAGTCTTTTAGTTCCGCAGAAACTACCCTTCTCTGGAGGGGCTCCAGGATGATTGCTATTGAGTCTAATTTCCGCTCTGTAGAAAGCGTTTACAGTAGAAAAAAAACAACATGGTTTTGGGAGACCAGGAAGAGGGGGTCACTACACTGTATAGTACCTGAGCACCACCTATTTGGGTAGGTTTGTAGTGGTGCCTAGATTTGTGTATTTTTTTTAAACAAGATCTCCAGACCATACATAAGGAAATGCCATCATAATTATTGATATATGTGTTCGCATTATCGTTATGTTGCTAAATTCACTCTAATAAAAATTTTGATTTGCACTTTGTCCCTAAAGTGTCTAACTCTGTGTTAATTTTCAAGTGGTTGAGGCTTTCGTTTACACTTTGATTATTAATATCTAGGTTTGTTCTATTAAGATCAAATAAGATGATGTGATATTTTCTTAGTTTATTTTATTTTTTTTTTGAGAAAATTAAAAATCCTTCTAAATACAACATTCTAGATGGCAGGGACATGAGTATTTATCATAGTACTCATGTCCCTGACATCTAGAATTAACTATTGCTATTTTGCCATATTTGCTTCTATTTTAACGATGAAATACATTTTTACAGATTTAATTCAATCTCTTTTTACTCATTATCCTGTGACCTATTCCATTTCCTCTTCCTCCTGGGTACAAGTTTAGTATGAATCACTTTAATATATTGCTGATAGCTTCACATACATATGAATGCATCTATAAACGCCATAGAGTGTTGTGATAATTAATTAGGTTTTGAGATTTATACATATTAATATGTTTAAATCTAATTCGTTTGTTGTATCTTTTGTATTCTATTAATCGTATTAATCATGCTATTTTAATCCATTCCCCTATTGATAGATATCACATACTCGTATTTTTTTCTTAAGATTTATTAAGGTATTTGTGGCCAAATGACATTCAAATGGTGTTAAATGCTGGTTGGACACTGGTGGGAGAAGTATTTTCTGTATAGTATAAACTAGAGTTAGAAATTTACACACCAACATAATATTCTTTGTTCTTATTATTCAAGTGGTACATCTTTATTTATTTGCCCTACGTATCTGTAACTAAATTAGGTAAATATGTTAATGTCTGACTTTACTATTGTGTGCCTGTCAATATCTATCTATCATCTCCCTCAAAATGTCTTCTGATTTTTTAAAAATATTATAAATGCAGTGGGTACTTATAAAAGCCATAAAAAATTTAAATATCAATAGACAAAGGATAGTCTTTCCTAATTTCAGCACTAAGTAATAACCACTATTAACATACTAATGTACAGCACTCCAGATTTATTTTTACACATACACTTAAAGATAGTTCACATATATAAACTGTTTAAAAATAAGTTCAGAATAAAAACATGTTTGTTGTATTTTTTGGTATTGAAACATACAGGCTTATGCAATTTCTACTCTACATAAATATATAAATATAGCTAA